AGGGAAAACCATCCCTACCCTGTGCACACACTTTTGAAGATGAGAAGCTTTGTTCTAGGGGTTTTTTTTTACCCCAAATGACCTTCAGAACTTTGCAAGACCCTTTCTCTCCAAATTACTCGAATTATTTGATCARGTCTCAGGCAGCCAAAATGGCTTTCAAAACATTCACATACAGCTCCCATGCTATAGTGCAGCTATGTCCGTACAAGTCAGCCCGCAAATGACCCTGGACTCTCAAACTCAGCTGATGTAATTAAATGATCCTCAGCATGTTTTTGCCCTAAGCAAACTTGTCCTGAACAACTCCTCATGCCCTCAAATATTTATTTGTGTCATCTTGATCCAGGATATAAAAGTCATTTCAACTTATTCCTCAGTTTCCTTTAGAAGAAATGGGATGATATCAGAAAACAGGCTGTTAATGGTAAAGTTTGACAGGTTACACTAMAGTGGTGGAAATAACAGACTCGCACAGAATGAAAATAACATAGGAGCGAGCCTTGAAGTTGAAAAGAAAATTTCTTCAGATCAAAATTACAGTATTATGTAAGATTTCTAAGAACTCATTTTCCATCACAAGAATCCACCAACCATCAGAAAATCCCTATGAAAGCAAAAGCATTGGAGATCACAAATTACACTTACCGTGAGCTTGGCTGGAAGGGCCACTAATGATAAACCCTTAGGCTTCGCCATGTACACAGGATGGAACAGCGCAGCTGAAGCAGTCTGGCAGGCATTAGCAGAAAAAGAAACGAAACCAGGAGTGCACAAAAAAAACCCTAAAAATACTCAACTGAAAGACAAGATATAGAAAAACAGCCTCTAAGTCCAACATTTTCCAGAGTGTTTATTTATAGAATTGTTTCAATTTGGCACACAGCTGGAAAATGCTAATACAATTTGCTGGACTAACAGGAAAAATGTTGGAGTGTTACTGGTCCTTTGTGCAGAAAAGAAACATGAACTATAAATAAGGAAAAGTCAGGGCTGAAAGCATGTTTGTGTGCAAGAGTGAGGGGTGGAGAAGGGGGTAAGACATAGAAGGCAGGAATGCTCAGATGATAATATTTCCAAGTCCTCTAGTAACGTAAGTTGAAATAAGCCACAGGAGCCAAGTATAACATAACACAGATTGGTTGCACTATTGGCACAAGTTGAGCTCTTTAGAACTTAATTTATTGTTTGCTCTTTGCTCTGCTTGCTTCTGCTCCCATGAAAGCAGTGGGAATTCCGCTACCGACTTCAACAAAACGAGGCCTTTTACATCGAGCCAATGRAGGCTCCTTCATAAGCAACGCTCTGCACTCAGGTCACAAACGTCAAACGTTCACAACGTTGAAAGGCCGTTTTCTTCTTTTTAAGATACTCACTGGTCCATCTGCATCTGTTCTGGATGCTCAGCATTATTATCCTACCAGTCACATAAAACGCTAAGTTGCATTTAATTTGTTGGAATCTACCGCATTTCTGGTAGGACCAACACGTTAGACCTTGGCCCAAAACACCAACAGTTCTAGGATAAAGTGGACTGTGCAGCTTGCTGCCATGATGCTCTTTTTCTTGGATTGTTTCCACCTCCAAGCTCTCATTTTTCTTGTTCACAAGGTATGAAGAAACAAGCAAGGATCAGGAAGCAATACAGGACAAGAGTGGCTACCAATTGCTGGCTCCAAAGAAAAGAAGCTGAGAGAGAAACTAGATATTTCTGAACCTCTCTCAGAAAAGCTGAAAAAGCTACTGGGACACCATGAAGTTTAGGACTTCATCATTCTCTTGAGATGAACTCTGAATGGTAGTAGCTGCATGCGTGGTGGTAGTAGCTGCTTGCAACCCATGAGGTGCCAGCTCCCTGTCACAGCAGCTGCCAGGCAGGACAGGTAGTTSAGAAGTCAAGCAGTCTTTATGAGCCCTCRGAGCTCACRCAGTCTTGTTACACCAAAATGAACTGGATAAGGAGCAGTTTCGTCATTCAGGATAGTAGGTCAGAAGACAGGTTATGAATGAGACTTGGACAATGTCAAATTTATAATTATGGAAAGAACCTAAATCTCTATAACAAAACACTGAGGAATGCTCAGCCTGAAATGAAGCCATTCAGCTAGAGATATTCTTATCTCCCATCGTGCTAAAGCTTAAAAACATAGTGATATYCACCTATGGCTAGTTAAACTGTAAGGGTACCTAAACCTTGAAGAAAAAGGAAACGAACAATAAAGTTAGTAGGGCAAGGTAGGTCAAAACTGGGGCGGGGGGGAGGGGTGGTCAGTGTCCTATGAAAGGTTTTGCTATTAGAAAAACTTCAACAGGAACCACATCCACATGAGAGCAAAATAGCAAACCCGGGCTGGTGCACCACACAGCTCAGCTCAGTACTTTGCCACTTCTCTTTGCATTACTCGGAGGGAAGTGGACTCTTTTATACTGTTAAATCAGGAGTATTACAGTGCTGTTGCATAACTCAACATATAATAGGATCACAAAGATGTTGGGGGACCTGATGTTCTCAATTAATGAGGAAAATCTACCTATAAATAGACAGAGATGAGCCCCAGTGATGAATCTTCACATTTCTGATCTCCAACCACTAACCAGTAAAAGGAAAACAAAGAAAACAAGAAAGCCTCTCAGATCTGAAGCAAATCAGAAAAATATGTCCTCGATGAGCTACAGTGAGCTATGGGGACTGCAAGGTTTAAATGAATACAGTAAAAGCAAACATACGGAACAACATCATGACATCTCAGCTTCACTTATATGGTGAAATTCAGCATCCAAGCTCTCTCTGCAACTATTTTCAGTATTTTTGTGTGCTCTCTCTGTGAAAACAAACTGTGCTTATTTAATTCATCTGTAAAAGTCTAGTAAATATGTTGAACTAGAAATCAGTTAAGCACAATTTTCAACCCTTTTATTTCCATGTCAATTTATTTAGAAAAACATTCATTTAAGGAATGCAAGTTAGGACTCTTGGTACAGTATTAGGTATCATCTAAACTACCATTCATTCTTTTTAGCTGAATGATTAAAAAAAAAAATACATACAGCTTTAAAATAATTTCACTTGCAATTATCTTCATCATAATACCCAAACAACAAGCAACTAAAAACAATGCTAAAACAACACATTCTCATACTTCCCTTGTTTGGTGCTTGAATGATACAGTTGAAAGATTTTCATTTCTTTAGAGAAGACAAACTTTTGTAGGACTCACCTAAGCTGTGCTATGGTTTTAAGTAGTATCCCTAAAAATGGTTTGATGGTTTTATGTGGAAGAGGCTACAGTGTAAAGAATGTTACAGCCCAGGAGTGAGATGTGGTGGCACGATTTCCTACCACTCTGTGCACAAATTTCAGTCACATCCACACAGATAAAACCAAACGTATAGTCAAGCTGGGACAGTAAAGTGTTTTAAAACGATGTAAACATGGTCAAAGAAACAGCATAGACGGGGTATTAATACTATACATGCAAATATTCAGGAGCAAGGACACGTATGCACTAAACAAGCACTTTTAAATACTTCCTGGCCTGTGCAAAAGTTGCAATTATTGTAAAACAACAACATCAGCAGCTGATATTCATCAGCCGTCTGACAATACTCCTATCCACACTGCTCTGCTTCAGGCTAGGCCGGGAGACTCCAAGCATCCCCTTGGATCTCAGGTGTAAGGTACCGAGCACTAYGATCAAGTGCAATAAAGCACTTCAGGATATTTAGTTTTGTGTCTTTTTCTTCTTAGGGAAAGATTCATTATTAATTAAAAACAGCAAATAATGCTGTTAACTGCTGTATACCTTCAGCTATGCTGCAAGTAAGCCTCAAATATGTAACCTTAATGTATTCTCCATTTCTCATGTGAAACAAAGTCTGCCCACAGTTTATGCAATGGATCACACCCAAAATAAAAGCGTTCCCACTTCCATGAGAAAAGCTTACATCCTCCTGCAACCGGAATGCAAAACAAATACCTCCCAAAACCCTTTCCTTACTGTCTATTTGAACACTGGGTGTTCACTGTTAGCAAAACATTCGGGTTTTTATAATAGCMTACTAGAGCTATTTCTCACATCTAAATTTAAGCCATATTGCTTAACTAATAAACAGAAGAGCTGCCTTTTTATTAGGCTTTAAGCCACTTAAAGCAGTCTGAAGGAAAAAAACTGCAGTCTTCTTTTGCATAATATTACTAAAGCCTTGATGAATACCAATGTTCTTCATTGAAATCTGGAAGTTCARCAAGTTTCCAAAATAAATGAGTCCCTTTTTAATAAGGACTTTTCTTTTATTTGTTGTAGTATACAGCAGTTTATTATATTTAAAAAATGGAAGTTAAGTTGCTTTATTTGTGTATTATCTACATATGTAAAAGCTATTCTTGAACAGCAGCAAGTGACAATTTTGGGGGAAAAAAAGGTATCCTGAAAAAATACCCTACCCGTACCAAAAGCCTGGTAGAAYTAAGTTTCAGTCTACTTTGCCCATAGGTTTACAAAACAAAAGTAACKGAAAGTTTATACCTGTAGTTATGTAACATCTGAGGAGGACCTTCAGAAAAGTGAGCACTTGCTGTAAGTTAACAGTTTTAAAAGAGGTAGGACAGGCACCACTGTTGATGTGGTGCCCTCCTACTGCTCATAACAGCAAGAAATGAAAAAAATGCAGTAATTATGATATTTACCAGAGGAACATGAATTTGCTTTAAACAGTCTTTGCTTACACTAAGTAAACTATAAATGGAAAATTTGTCATTTGATATCAAAGGGCTTCTGTTCTGTGTACACAGGACTCAGTTCTACAAAACTTTACTGAACAACGCTGTCACCCTGTTGTACTTTAGATGCTACCTACTCTTCAAAATTGYTTAAACTAAATTTAAAGATAGGAGAAAACGGCTTCATGCACTGGGCTAGTTTCCATAAATCAGGCAACCACCGACTGTTCAGGATGACTCGAAAACTTTCTGCAGAAATGAATGCACCTGAAGACAGGAGACCACGGTCATTCTTGAGTTCTAGAAAAATTGCTGGTTTCTATCTCATGTTGTAAATAAAACCAATCAACCAACTCACTATTCCCATCAAATTCACTCTGTATGACTTTGCTCAATGGTAAGAAAATAGATACCAAAATGAGGGGCTGCTTCTATAGGTATAGACACCAAATGATGAACAAGTCCTACATTAGAGGAAAATCTGGCATGCACCTTCAACACTGTACACAGAAATCAAAGACGAGAATTAATTGTTAAAAACTATACAAGGGAACATTACCTTCTTTTAAAAGGGCATATGGAAATAATCACACTGATTAATAAAACACATTATTCACAACTTGTCTGAACTAAACTGGTTTACATCTTCAGGAAAACGCCAAAATAGTACAGAACATCTCTTTTTTATTTTTCTCTTAAAAAGCAGAAAGAGTGCCCCTCTGTCAAAGATAAACTGTTGCTGTATCTAAACTTGTGTCGATTTTCTTGTGCTTTCCATTCAGGGGATATAGAACACGGGGTCATATTTCCTGCTAAATTGTTTACAGTAATCAAATGCTTATATAAAACATTCTTTTTCTCTCTACCTAATTCATTATGGAGCTTCTAAAAGTACTGTAACAAGGTGTAAAAGCTTCAAAGAAATTCCTGTGAGAACTACTTTGATTATTTTATGAACCAATTTGGATTTTCCTTTCAGTTCACTTGAATTCCCAAATATATACTGTATCTTGAGTATAAGAACTGCAAGAAAACAGTCTAAAAAATAAGACATGGAAACTGAGGTGGGAAGAGGTCAGCCACCTTTCTACTTCCATTTTTTTGTTTCTTTTCTTTTCTTTTTTTTTCTTTTCTTTTTTTTTTTTTTTTTTAAAATACCATCACTCAAGCATCCCAATGTACTCTACAGTCCCCAAGCCCACACCAAATCGCTTTGCTTTGCTGTGCATCTTTCCCTGCGGGTTTTCACGCCGGCCTCTTCAGACAGAACATCTGGAGACTACAAAAGCATTACTTATACTTTTCCACCAGCTGAGTTTATTTGTGTGATGTTTTCTCCAGATTTGGAAGTTTTTCAATCAGTGCTTTATGGTTCATGTTGATACTGGCTATAAGTCCTCCCTCATTGCCATCTGAGCCAGTATAAGTGATTTCTTCACCAGCCAGGGTAGTCATATGGCCACCCAGTGCTCTCAGCACAGCATTTCCAGCACATATGTCCCACTTCTTAATATAAGTGACATGAATATACACATCAGCTTCTTCTTGATTCTCTTCAGGCACATCAAGGAGAGCCAACACTTTGTAACCTACACAAAAAAAGAGGGGCATAATAAACATGAGTTATTAAAACATCAAGCTTCTCAATTCATCACAAAAGATTAATCTAGTTAGTGTTAACAGTATGTACATGGAAGAGTTAGGAAAATTATGTTCTAAATTGTATCATGCAAGCTCACTACGACAGTGGAGACACCAATAAGCTTAAAAAAGAAAAATCTTTTTTTTTTTTTTTTTCTCCTAAACCAGTATCTAAACTTCGGGTATTTTGGACATGTTATTTTTTAGACATCCTTTACTAATATGTTACGTAGAGATACCTAGAGATACCCTAAAAGAACAAGGCTATCAACTAAAATACTATTTTGCTCTTGGGCTCACTCTCCTCATCCACTGTGCAGTTCACAAGTCACTGTTCATAGCCARCATTCCTTATTTTAAACAAATTTTTCAATTGTTCAACCAACATCTTCATTCTACTAAAATCTTCCTCCGTTTCTTCTTCTTGTTATACAGAGCCAAACCCAGGAAACAACTAGTATAATCAGTTACAATTTTATCTCCTCTGCCAAAGAATCTAAATAAATTTTCTTGTGATAGCAGAGGAAAAACAGAGCTTCCTTTAGAAAGTTTTGTCAATAAGGCCGTACCAGAGTCATTCACCTATGCATGATCTTATAGACTAAACTTTCTAACAGGAAGCTCTGCTTTTCATATTAAAGATATGGAAAGATAGACTTTTGTAAAATTCAAATTTTCCATGGATTTTGCTATGCAGTTACTGCTTCACATTGGTGCCTTGCATATTTGCATTCTGGCAATAGCATGTGCAAAGATATTGTTTAAGTTTAAAAACAAACAAACAAAAACCATACTACTAGTTAATTAACAGCCAACAGATTCCTTATGTGACTCAACACTTGGCCACATGCTCCTTTTCCCTTCACAAACACCCCAGTGCCTTCAGTGAATGCATGTTAGTGCACTCAGTGAAGTGACCAAGTAACACTGCTGCTCCAAGATTAGATTTAAATACTGAATAACCTGTGGACAGCTTGAATTGCAAACTAGGTTTTCATTTAGGCGTTCATGCAAAGTGTTCCTCCTGCAAGTGTTTGTTTTTGGGGTGAACAAGAACAAAAAAACAACAACAAAAGAAGAAAATGGAGACATGCTGCAGCGTCACCCTTTTGTCTAATAGCTGCTGCCCACTTAAACCAGTTGGAAACAATATAAGGGATAGGATGCTTAAGGAACCAAACCTGCTCCACCAGCAGGGATTATCACAGTTTTGTTTCCAAACGTCTGCCGTGCAACCTGCTCGACTTTTCCTGCATGGGAACGGGATACAATAATCCTCGGGGTTTTCTCGTTGTAGGACGAACGAGCCTTTATATTGGATCCGCCATCCACCATTGCCCAGGCTACAAGAGAAACAAGTTCTGGTAAGCTTTATAAAAGGCACTCTCTCTTATTAAGGATAAAGATAAAATCTACATATCCCATAAAAATTAAAGTGACACCTCTGAACTTATTTCCCTCCCTGCTGCTAGATATAATAATGAAAGTTGAGACTGTGAGAAGCAGCCCATCCATGGAAGAGAAAAAGAAACAGGGGCCCATACAAACACCCACTTTTGTGTGTTATTCCACATATGGCTATTCCCATGTAAGAATTAAAACAAAAACAAAACTAATTAACTAACCACACAGTAAAAGGAGAAAACCCCAGTAGTAATATTTAGAACATGCAACTAGAAAAAAAAAAATTAACAGAGTGGCTTTGAGCTCAAAAGATATCCAATATTTCCCTAAACAACTTTGCTTTAAAAACAAAATAACCCCACTTTGCTTCAAAGCAGGTAGCAAAAACATTATTTGAAGCTATTTTGTCCAGAAGGACCGTAATAGGAAGGAAAGGTATGAAAACAATCTACAATGTGTATTTTGGAGGACTGGATTTAGAATACACAACTTTCCTCTTGTTTTATTATGAGGTTCAAAGCTTAACGTGGTAGGCAGCATCCTCTAACCATTAATTTGACACTTACTTAGCAGCCTAACCAGCAATTTCATCTCACGAGAGGGCCAGACTGTACAGCAACAGACTGAGCTATGTGTAACAACAACACTGACTGTCCTTGCTGCTTTGTGGGGTACTATCAGGAACCATCCGTCAACAACGTATCTGGATTTCCAGCTTGGGAAATGAATCTTCTTCATGTGGAATGACAAATTCCTGCTATCGCATTTGATACCTTCTCCGGTGATGTCAGATTATTACTATTAAAGGAGATAAATTCTCATAATTACAACCTTCTAAAAAAATTCTTCAGATATAAGATGATACTTAGAAGACATGTTTCAAAAGGTTAATATACTTAAAGAATATCAAAATATAGCACATATTAAAAAGACTGGGATTTAAGCCATCATTTAAAAAAAGCAAAGTATTTAGCATAAAATGGTGAATGCTCAGTAGGCAAAAAGAAAAACTTAAAGTCAGCAAAAAATATATTTAATTAAATATTCCTAGATCTTTTAACAGAGCTAACTTCACAACTGTAGAGGTCAGTATTGCCTAAAGGGAAAAATGAGAATAAAAGCTCCAGTTTCAACTGTATAAGATGTGAATACTAAAATGACTTTGAATCATTCAGAAGTGTTGTATATACACTGCCAAACTAACAGCCATCCTCACTGACACATCGTTGCTATCATAGAATTAATCAGGTCAGGCTCATGAGCTTTAAAGCATGTCAGGCAGTCAGCAAGCCCACACGTAACAGTCTTTCCAGAAATTTATACAATTGTTATTAAGATCTTTATCATAAAATCCCAGAATGGTTGAGGTTGGAAGGGACCTCTAGAGATCATCTAGTCCAACTCCCATGCTCAAGCAGGCACACCCAGAGCACRGGGCACAGGGCGGCATCCAGGCAGGTTTGGAGACCTCCAGAGAAGGAGACTGCACAACCTCCCTGGRCAGCCTGTTCCAGGGCTCTGGCACCCTCACAGGGAAGAAGTTCCTCCTCACATGCAGATGGAACTGCCTGTGTTCCAACTTATATCCATTTTGTTTATCTATGTTATTCGCAMTGAACATACACCAGCTCCTGGGCACAATTTCACAGACCCAACTATTTCTACTGAATGAGCTGGATGAGCAAAGTACTGTTCTGTCAAAGAGTCACAACACACACAAGTTCAGCATGTGGGAATTTCTATTTTTTGCTCYGTTATAAGCAGCCTGCTGAAGAGATCTTAATTTTCAAATGCTTTTTCAGATTTTTTGTTCTATTTTTTTTTTTAATGCATCATTTTTTATGCTCCATGTGGACAACATTTTCCATTCTGGCCTTAGAGCACAGAACAAATCTGTTGCTCTGAGGTCTACAACAGTGTCAGTTTGTGTCAGTTTTTTTTTAATTTATGCCTACAGGTATTCCATCAAATTTTAATTAGCACTGTCACTGAAGATACCAGAAATACGTGAAATTATAAAAGTACCTGTATATGCTGAGAAAGGCTTGTGTATCACTCCTATTACAGGTTTACCATTTACAGCCACGCAAACCATTGTTGTGACGTACTGCCGAAGATCCTCTGTGAGCAAAATAAGGAAATAAAGACATTCACAATCAGATGTGAAGAACAAAAAAAGGACCCAAGAAAGGCATCTTGCTCTCTGAAAACTAGCTGGCATTCCAAATTCCACCTTTTACAATTATGCAATTTTGTTGCATCTTCAAATCAWCCTCCAGTTATCAAAGGACTTAGAAGACTTTTACTTTTCTTCCTCTTCCATATATATGTCCCATACTCTTACTAGATCAAATGTTAAGGAGGCACAAATATTACAAAATGAGAAGACTAAATTTTATATATAACTATATATATAGACATAGATATAAAAACCCTTTGTATCTCAATATTTATCTTTTCCTTTAGAAGAAAGAGTATTCTGAGATATTTAGTACTATCACAAAGGCCACTACAAATATACAGTGAAATGTGTAACACTAGCTAACCCCACAAATGACAGTTACCATTTTTTTTTGCAATCACTTAATTACAAAGAATGTTTAAATAATTTCAGAGTTGGCAACGGGAAAGTAAATGCTAGCCTGTGACTACTACAGAGGTTTCGTTTAAAGGCTGTTCAGACAAAGCACTGCTTTGGCATACCAAGTATATAGTATATTTGCAATATACTTCAGCAAGAGYTGCCACTGTGAATGCTGTTTCTCTCTGGTTCAAAAGGCAGACAGCAGCACTGCACACGTGAACTGGGAACAAGCAGCAGCTACCTGTGTATTCTTGTGTAGCATCTAGCGGATCAATCCAGACAGTAACGCTTTCTGCTGGAACCTCTTTAGACTGTATTTTACTCTTTATATCTTCGGGAATACTACGATCCCAAGTGACGGTCTCCTGATCAGCTGCATCAACATGTTCTTCGGAATTTATCTACAACAAAAATGGATGCATTAACTCAACAAATGCAGTAACTAAGGTACTTGGAAAATGAAAGATTTGTTATCCTTGCTTTCTCTTTTTACCTCAAGCTAAAACAGCATGAATTAGTCATTTTCTGCAGTTCATAAGCTCTTAAGCTCAAATCCCAAGCAATAAAAAAAATCTAGAATTCTAAATTTTGCTGTGAATAACACCGTAGTTGGACATAACTTGTTTGGCTACCATTCTTCTTACTGAATGTTCTCATAGCATGGATTGCATTTTTAAAACCAAATGTTAAACAGTTACCTCAAGGACCACAAGGAGAACATTTCATCCTGGATAATAATCAAAAGGTATACAGATATAGCAGCAGTCTAATACTTTAAATAATGTTGTATCATATATATATATATATATATATATATATATATATATAAAAATCACATGCAGATTCAAATGTGCAAATACTTCCCTAATAAAAAGTTTACAAATCTTAGCATAACAAAGTGAGAATCCTAGATACCATTTCTGCTTCTGGAATTGAATTATGACCTGTTTTTTTAAGTAACACAACTGGATGTAGCCTTTATACAATTGTAAAACATATTTTATTTTATAAGCATGGTCATAGCATTCCACACCTACCTCTAGGGTAGGTTAGGCTGAGAATCTAAGGCAGCCTATGAGGAATATTTATAAACAGTATCCATGTTTAGGGTAACTGCCACTTGTAGACTACCTTCATGAATTTTATTCTGGACTAGAGAGGATTTCAGTCTGTAAAAGGGAAGAAGAATGTGACAGATCAATGGAATACCCGGTCCCATTCTGTGCTGAAATGAAGAAAATTCTGCTAAATCCAGTATAATTTAATGTTGACTGGAAAATTATTTTTAGATGGTGAGAGATGTCATTATCACACAATATTGTGCATAATGATCTCTCATGTCATATCATATACATCATATAACATCATAGGAGGAACTACTCAATAAATAAGGGTCAACGCCATAGAACAGGCTAGAACCCAGCTTACTAGTACYACAGCTGTGGCTTACAGGAGGGCTGCAAAGCACTCAGAAATAAGCAGCACCAACAAGCATTTAGGTAGCTACATCCCATGTATTTTTAACACCTCAGTTACACTAAGAGACTAGCATTTCTAAACCCCTTCCACTGCCAAGAGAAGGAAGGTGTTGCTACCACAACTTGTGAGCTTTAGCCTAAGTGAACCCTCAGAAATGTCTYGCTCCACCAATTTCCCAGCTAGAGCTCAGGGAAAGCAGGGGGTGTGTGGGGGATGCAGCACCTACAGYCTAGGAGCACCTATTTGCATCCACTCATGGCCATGGAGTCTGGACTATTAGCTCAGATCCAGGTGTCTGACTATTACAGCAGACAAATCTCAATTGTTGCTACTCAATTGTTGCTACTCAAATCTCTCTTGTTGCTACTATAGATCTTGTGGGCAYGTGACACTAAAAGGAGGTCGCTAAGTTTGATTATATCAGACTTGGACTGGGCAAGGCGTTCAGATGCTTCACTCCATGACATGCAGAGACAGCACTCGCTTCAGCTGTAACAGATTATTAGCAAAGGATGAAGGGTCATCTGCTCCAAGAGAATTCAGGAAAAAAAAAAAAAATCCATCCTGATTTGATATAAAAGCAGCATTTGAAGTGTTGCATGTCAACCACAAAGCCGTTGAAGCTGCTTTGACATTTACAAATTAAACATCTGTCACTGTACAATAAACCTGCTGATTGTGTTTTCCCCAGGGGAAAACAGTCCTGCAAAGTGAACGAGACAAGTTCCACAGACTGGGCAGTTTCAACACAAGCTCCAGGCATTTTTTAACTCCAGAAGAGCGTATAACCCACCAGCATAAGCCGTCCTTTTCCTCAACAGAATTCCAAAACATGACAAGGTCAGAACCAATCCTCAAAAGGAAAAGTCTCCTGTTGTTATAAACCCATTGTTACATAGCACCATCTGAACGGTTTCCAGAGAAAGGTCTACAWGCACAAATTGCCTTTGTACAGCAAAATAATACCACCTGCTAGTAGCTACTCTTATTACCATCTAAAATAATAATTGCTACTAGTATTACTGTCTATACCAGYACTGCTCTCTGTGCTATTGGTATTACTATGTGTAGTAGTACAGACAGCAGAAATAGAGTTGCAGAGATCCCATGACACTGATCCCACTCCCTGGTCTCTTCCTTTGAAGGTCATCTGAAAAAAATCAATTGGATCACTAGTTCTTCAATTGAAATTACCATTTACTCCATAATCCTAGCTACATATCCTAAAAACCACAGGCCAAGTTAAAAATCAGAGCCGTTTCAATATCTGCATGTTCCTTTTATTAATGATTAGAAAAATATGTTATGGGTTCTGTAAAATATATGCGAGGTTCTGCAAGACATGGTAGCCTGAAAAGAGCTTTGGTGCTCTTTAACACTGCAAACTTCCCCTTTCTAAGCAAGCAAACGATCCAGGAAGATGTACCTGTGTGTTAAACGTGGTAGCATATTTACTGCTTAGTGTTCAGCTCCTACGTATTTGCAGGAAGCCTCTGCAGGCTGTGCTCTCGAATCTCATTTTTTCCTGAAGATTTGTGGAATGCAGCTGACTGTATCCCCAGATTCTTACTTAGAAATCAGGAGCAGTTATGGGAGCTATGGAACCACTACAGGAACTGCTTTAGTCAATGAAGCTTGTTCCAGCAAGACGCTCCCAGGCAATTAAACAGGCAATAACAAAGTTGTGAACGTGCCGACTTGCTACCACACACATAATGCTGCCTCCTCCAAAAGCTTCTTGTGAAGCAGATTTAGACAGCAACCCATTGTGCAAGAACTGAGACAAAGAGCAGAGAAGTAAACAGCTCTCCAGAGTCATCCCCTCCATAGCTGGATGTTGCGAAAGGCAGTCTCTCAATTTCTGTATTCTGTCTACGGATACTGAGTTTAACCATCTCTCAGCAAACTTCCTCAGACATACATGGAGAAAAAGCTCTCCTCACACATACAAAAAAAGAACTGCAGCAAATATAGAGATTTATTTTAGAAAAATATGTGAAATGCTAAACGGGCTTGCACTGCAAAGTCAACAAAAATCACTTTTATAAGGGAGGCACCCGACTGCATTTTTCAGGTTGAGGGCTTGCCCAGGAGGAGTGGGTCCTTCGTAGGAATGTCCCAGTGAATGAGGGAAGTTGTTCACGAGAGGCAGCGGCGGCAGCGCGAGGGCCAGAACAGGCTGCACATTCTGCGGCCCAGAAGCCGGGCCAGGCCTGGGGAAGCTGGGCCTTTATACACCGAGAGCAGCTCACGAACACGCGGGCAGCTCAGAAATGAGCTAAAACCCTGTGCAGACGGATGTAGCGATGAGAGCAACGTGCTCCAGCGCGGCTGACACCACGAGCCGAGGGAGCCTCCCGAGTGGGGCTGCTCCCCAGCAGGGCTTCACAGTGCTGGTGGCAACACCCCCCAAAGCTGGGGACACTCTAACCGGCTGCCTGGGGCACTGTACAAATTCAGGCTTTTGTAAGAGCACATTCATAGTTTTGCCTTGGAATCCACCCATTAAAGAGGCAGCAACCGGAAAATATAAGCTAAAGAAACTAGATTTTTCTGTTCCAATGTTTAAGTGTTTAACACTTAACACAGTAACCTTACTAGTCCAAGCTTCTAGGTTTACTCAATACATGGGCATCTTTAAAGACAGCTTTCTTTTGAAAGGGATCTTTAGCAAGCTTTTCCTTCTTCCTTTACCACTAAACACCACACACACAGAAAAGCTTTTATAGGTGATCTTCTTCATGCCTTTGAAAAAGGCTTACCTTGTTAGAATGCCCCTTATGTAGAATTTAAGTAGGGGAGATTTTGTTCTGAAAGAGATTACAAACACATGCTAAAAACCCTGCYTGTATCATTTTGGATTTCACTTAAAATTCAAGTATTAACTACCTCTCTAATAAAGCCACACATTTTCAAGTGGACAGAAGTCCAGCTGGGTCGAAGTTCTACAGTTCCTTCTATCCTCAGGTCCATCTTCATTTACTTGAATGACAGTGGGAAGTGACTTCTGAATGAACAGGACAACCTTGTGGGCAAGCAGGAACATGGACTAAACCAAGGGTCAAAAAGCTCAATCAGTATTTATCAAATTTTCATTACTTGGGTTCAGTTACTATGTCAGCCCTAACTAGGGTGAAACTAAAGGTTTCCATATACAGTAAAAACATTTCAGATGAGTAATCTGCTTCTGTAGACTTACAATGAACACAAGATGGTAAAAGTGACAAAGACAAAAACTCAACAAACAAAACTGCATGAATCTCAGAATTCATACAATGTCCAACAGCAAGAGGTTTAAAATTAAAAAAATAAAAACAGTGACAGTGAGAAAGCCCCTCACTTATCTACTAKTTATCTACTAGTCATTTCAATAGACAGCAAAACTCACAATACAGTTCTGCACAAACRCAACCACGCAAATTTAATAAAAGGAAATAGAGGAGGGACATGTCCACAAGGGATTCTTGAAACTATTTTCATTTTCTGAAAACAGACAAATAAGTCTAGGTTAGATGTATATCAACAAAATAAATCACAGAAACTTTCACATCACTTGTGATTCACTACATTAATAAGGAATTTAAATCTCCAGATGCTCAACAGGCAGATTCAAGACACCCAGTACACATACAAGCCAATTGAAATACTTGTAATTACATCTGAAAAGATAATCATACCATAAAGGGCTTCAATTTCATTTTAGGTACAGAAGGCCAGCATAAATCATATAACATCAATTAAAATCCATGTTAAAAGCTGTTGCCTATAGACAACATCTATTAATGAGACTGCACATTAACAGACACGCTTCTTGTTTTACTTAGAAACTTGCTGGCAGCTGTTAAAATTATAAGAGTTAAACATAAGTTAATTTTGTCAAAAAAAGTAAGTGAGGATGATGTTCTTTTCACAAAGGTTATGGAACTTATTCTGCACCACTAAAAGTGGTGCTTATTCTTATTCTGCACCATTTATTCTGCACCACTTCCTTGTGAAGTTTTTAAGTAGCATTCTGATTTTTAAACCTACTCCTCAACAGATCTCTCTTTCTAAAATAATCATCAGATGCAGAACTTGTCTTTCTAGTTGCAATTCCAATTTCTTTGAGTACAATAAGCAACATTGTGGCAAGAAGTCTACAAACAGCAGATTTAAATCAGGTAGCTCAGAAAAGGAGTGCTTCAAGCCACTATCACTCRGAACGTGGATTTAAAAGAAAATCTTGTTAAAGGGATAACTGAGAAGTTCTTAACCTCTTAAATTTCCATTTCAAACACTGATGACAGATTTCAACACTACTATGCATACAGATAAAAGGTATTCCTCTGTTTTATACATATATTAGGAAAAAAAGATACATAGCTAGCACAGCACTGCTGTGGTCAAAAACAAGCCAAAATGCAAAATAGTGCATGGCAGTGAAAGTACACTGCAAATAACACAAGTAAGTAAGATAAAGCCTGCATCTCATGGAAATAAATCYATGTTATTTTGGGGAAAAAAAAATGGAATTTAGAATTGTGGSGGCCATTGTAAAGTATCTTCAGACTCTGAGGACAAAGGGCCTTAGGTCAAAGCACTAGTTTAAGGAGTCTATCCCAGCTCTGTCAACCATTCCAACTTTGTGCTTAAAGTACACTGTCAAATAAACTGGTACAGCTTGTTTGTAGGGCCATACTACACACTGGATAAGGATTACTCATACACACACACACACACACACACACACAGACACACACACATTTACTTAAACTTGGAGGCATTTAAGTATCAACTAACAACACCAACTCCTAGGGGAGGGAAAAAAAAAAAAAAATCACATTAGCAACACAGAAGACCCCAAGATGCATCACTGGGACTCTTCAAAGACAGAAGTTCTCAGCAAAAGGCATTAGTTCTCCTTGGCAATCTCTAATTTTGGATTCAGAGATGGCTTTCCCAGCCCCTTTTCCCCCACTTTGTGCTTGCTGAAGTGGGAAATCTAACTCTTCCATCTCTCACTAATATTGAGATCTTAACAGAAGACCTGCTTCGGACAGACTGCTTGCACACCTTCCTTTACTTCCTTTACAGCACAGGAAAGATGGTAAAGCCACAACTGCGCAGCAGCTTGAGCTTAGCTTGGTCAAGTAACTTCTTCCAGTTATTTCTGAAGACTGAAAACCTGTAACTACTCTTAAAGAATAAAAAAAAAAATGATTATTTTCTTTGCATTAAAAGGCAGATGTTATTACTTTTTGAGGAAGGATAGTGGTTGTTACTGGCTGAGGCATTTGGCCTCAGCTTARAAGTCGAGATATCCTCGTTATGGCCATGACCACAATGATGTGAATAAACAAGCATTCGGGCTGAGTTTGCTCTTGAAATTCTTTGCATTCTTTGTTTGATATTTTATTTAACAATCCCTTGGTTAGTAGCATCATGAACTAGAAAAGAGGATTTTTATTCAACTTCAGCAATGTTTTCTGGAAYGTCCCTTTGCACTTAGAAATAATGCTACAGGTAAAAGCATGATGCCTTTTACCACATAAGACTCAATCTTACACAGATTCTCATGAAAAATATCTCAGGAAATGCATTTTATTCCTCAGATGCGTAACAACTGAATTTGTAGGTCTATTCTGAGAAACAGTAGCAATTCTAGGTGTGGAGCTGAGGGTGTACAGGATGAAATTACAGCTTGAGATGCCCCTGTCTCCAGACCTGAGCACTGCACGTGTATGCAGTAAAAGCATTAAATGCATCTTGTTATTTTGACCTAGCAAATGCTTACAAATACATTTTCATCACAGTATATATATTAAGAAACAGCATGCCCTATTATTATATACAACCCGTTATCTAATGAGTAACTTTACCTAGCACATGTTTATCTATATCATGTATTCAGAACACTAAATATATCAGAGCTGACCAATAACTCCAGCCAAAAGGCTGGTTAGCCAAGAACCTCCCATTTCTTCTCACTGCTCATGCTCAGCTGATGTGAGTGAAGGTGGAGGGAGGAGACCAACCCGGACACCAAAGTTCTGGGAAACATGCCTCAGGTTAAGGGCCTCCAGAAGAAAGACACGCAACTCGGATTCTCATCTCTATGCCCCTTCCTGGGGTTCACAGGCATAACCACAAACACAGAACAGGCAGCACTGTAACGAGCTCAGTGATGAAAGTCTATAGACTTGGGGAGGGGACAGAGGCATGTCAAAATGCCAAGATCCATGAGGACACTGAGGAGCAAAAGCCACTGGAGGACAGTAAAAACCTGTGAAAGAGGTACCTTGCTCTTGAGAGAAAGCATTTTCAAAACAGCCCTCATAATTTTTCTGTTGAGGAATGTTCAATTTCAAATGTGGAACAACCTGTTCTTTTTTTGCTTCAGATATCCTTCCTATGCAACGGACTTTTTATATACATTGCTTGAAAATAGGCCTATGGAACATTCAAAACAGTYACTGAAAACCGACTGGGCTAATGTGTTGATCAGAGTTGCAGCTAAATTTAAGAAAGAAAGAAAGAAAGAAACAAACAAACAAAAAACCACTATATTTTTTTCAGCCCATCCAAGAAAAGCATCACCTTTCAAACCCTTAAGATGTACTTGTGGTGCTAAGAGTTTTCCATCAATCTCAAACAATTTCAGTCTCTTAAGCCCTTCACTTACTATGAACTTCTCATTTACTACAGACAAAGTGTAAGCATGCAGAAAAGAAAGAGCACCCAGGTTTGGTCCTGGTTTGGGTGCAACTTTAAACAACAGTTTAAGTGCAATGCTTAAGTGTCGTTTTTGGAAGCAGATGCGAGTGTGGGGTGCCCCACACCTCTAAGAGACCCCTAAATTGCCCCATAGGCAGTGACCCACGGAGGGAGCCAGCTCCAAGCCTGGGTAAGCAGGTCGGCTAAGCRGAGCTTGCAGAGAGCTCTGGTGCCCTCGCTCCATCCTCCTCTGTGTCCAACTCCACTGGCTCTCCCCATTTCTGGCCCCCTCAGTAACGTACACCAGGAAAGATAAGCAAAGAAAGTAAGTGAATAGTATATATTCATTTCAGCATCATAAACACATACAAAGTTGGTACTACCAAGTTCTATTTAATCTCAGCCAGAAAAGCCCTATTTCACAAGTTTCACGTGCTATCTTTAGGGGCTTTTTGCCTCATACACGTGTCAAACCCCTCGCACAGCTCAGCTTGCGCACGATCCGGCTGCTCCTTCCCTTGCACCGAATTCCAGGTGCCGGTCCCACACGGGCAGGGCCGCGCGCCCCGCACGGGCAGGAAACGTTTCCTGCGCGAGACCCAAACGCGACACGTGTCTCTCCGCAAGCAGCTCGGGAGCGGCCGTGCGCCTCAGGGCGCTGGAGGGGAGCCAGCAGSAGAGCCCGGCGCCCCCGTTCCGCGGGGCCGACGCTCACAAACGGGTTGGCGACAGAAGGCGCCACGGGGGCGGCAAGGCCGGCGCGGCACCCACCTGCACGCCGGGGAAGGCGGCCCGCAGCAGGTGGAACATGCGGCGGTTGGAGAGCAGGTCGCCGCTCGTGAGCTTCTCCTCGGCGCCCTCGCGCGTCTTGCCCTTGGCCTTCTCGTTGAGGACGTTGCCCTCGCGGACGCGCCGCACCTCGGCGCCGCCGCGCGCCGCCGCCTCCACGCACACGGCCAGCAGCTCGCGCAGGTCCACGGCGCCCGCCGCGCCGCGCGCCGCCTCCGGCTCGCCCAGCATGAAGAAGGCGAAGCGGCCGGCCAGGAAGCCCGAGTAGAGGTGGTAGAGGACGCCCAGCCCCAGCAGGCAGAACACTGCCATGCCGAGGGGCGACAGGCGGATCCCCATGGGGGCCATGGCCGCCACGGGGCAGGGCGGGCGGGCGGCGCTCACCGCGGCGCCATGGCGGCCGCTGCCCTCCTCGCCCCGCGCTGCTGCCGCCGCCGCCGCAGCCTCCTGCTCCTCCTCCTGCTGCTGCTGCCGGCGCGGCCGCAGCTCCACGCTCCGCTCGCGGCGGCCCGTGTGTATCCGGGTTAGGCGGAGGCGGAGCCCGCGCACTGAGCATGTCCCGCCGGCCGCGGCCCCGGGACACCGAGGTCCCGGGATGGGGGTTCTGGTCGATCCTCGATCACCCCTCGCCTCCCTTCTTTCCCCTCTTCCCACCRACCACCCCACCCGATATATTTTTTAAAAATTTTCTCATAATCTCAAAGATTCTTATTAAATTAAAGCTTTCATCTCGCTCTGGCCGTTTGAGTCGTCGTTTTTGGGGGCCCAGCGGCTCTAACGGCAGCGCAGGGCTCCTGTCCCCTTCCCTTCCTTTCCTTGGTTATCCAGGGGGTCCTGGCGCCCGCCCTGCAGCGAGGCCCTGCTCCGACCCGCAGGGCTGCCCTGGGCACACGGCAGTGCTGCCAGCTCCTGCAYGCTGAGCCCCTTCCCAGCGCCAGAGCGAAGCTAATCCGGCCGTTTCCCCAGCCAGATTATGCCCCCTGCCTTCATTTTTAGTTTATTTTTGCAGTTTGGGTAATCCGGGGAGGTGCGAAGCTATCTGCTTGTGCCCAGAGCAGACATCTGTGGTGGAAACCAGCAACRTTCACTGACTTGTTCCATTTTCCAATTACCTCTAGTAATTTTGAGTGAGGGGAAGTCAGAAGCAGAAGGGCTCAATTAGCTTAGCAGTGTTTGAATTAATTAGGTGTGCTTTTGGTGCAGCAGCATTCTGGTTTGTTGATAACACAGATTGGGGAAACAAGCTCTGCTCAACTCGGCTAATGGCTCTGAGTAAAAGCAATTATTTGAGATCCTGCAATAGAAGAGTTTTTCCAGGATCTTGTGTTTTACTGCTTTTTAAATAAYGTGAAATGCAGGCAATTGAGAATGTGGAAGCTAGGAAAGGCCAAAGTTAACGTTGCCCTTGCAAATTAAAATTGCCTTATTATCTCCCTYTTTGAATCTTAATTAAATCTTCAATTACATGTTTGCATACTGTGGCCTGCAGGATCACACCCTCTCTTAAGTGTATGTGTATGTGCAAGGACTGCAAATGAAACAAAGGATTGTAGGAAGAGAAAGGATTGGATCTGAAATGGGATTTAGAAGAGTTGGATTGTATGCTTAGCTGCRCTAGGATTTAACTTTCTATGCTATTAGGCAAAGCAATGCAGACAACTACAGTGTCCACATTTTCCAGCTTTAGCATACAGGACCCTTATCTGTGTGATTGCTTCTCTAGCAGGAGAATGGCTTGAAAGGATGTGCTGCTTATTTTCTTAAGCATCAGCTTCATGATTGCATATAATAATAATTAATGGCAATAAACTGCAGCAACACAGGGCTGGTGTTAGGAAAGAATGATCTTGTGCCTGTACWGAGCAATGTGTGCGAGATTAACAGAACAGGCATGCTCGTAATTAGTTCCCCTTTAAAAACTGCTGGGCAAAATAGCTGTTCAGCACAGCGCTGTCAGTAACAGTTTCTATGTGTTCAGTGAACAGGAATTTTAAACTTCTAGTGGAGGAATCCCAGGATAAGGAAAAGCTTCTGTTATTTTAAATTGCAGCTTTCTGGGCTGGTTTATTTGCTAATTGAAATAAAATGCTGTGCATTTTAACCCATTGAAGTTTGCGGAGACTGTATGGAGGCCTTGAAAAATGATGGATTTATTACTTGCTACGCCTTGCATTTCTACGCCTGCCTTTCAAGCATGGTAAATATAGACAGTAATGTAAACTGTGAGGATGACGATGCACAGAGAGCCCTTTATTTCAGTGTAACAACCTTATGTACTATTTCTGTTAGGTTTCAGAATACAAATGTTGACATTTCTCAGACTGCAAATACTGGATAAAATGACATAACACATTGACAATATGCTAGCATATTTACATAATCTRCATTACAATTCTGCAGTTATAGGCATTATTTTCAAAGAGTTTTAGTCCAGTACCTCCCAACTATTTTCCCAAGATCCTATACTGGGCTTCTCAGGGTTATCCAGGATGCCRTTGATTCCTCTGGCCTCCAGGACAGCACAGAGATCTTTGCATGGTGCTTCTATCAGGCAGGATTAAGGGAGTTTAGGCAGAGTTTTGTTACAGGGTTTAATTTATGATATGGATTTCCAGAGACTACAATACAAGTAGAAACTCAAAATAAGCTTGAAAAAAAAAATGATCTGGTTCATTCCTAGCAATGGTAGTTTTATCATTTCCATGGGGTGGAGGAGAGGTAAAATTATAAAGGAATTCCTTTTGAAAATAAAAACAATTCTTTCTGACAAACTTGAAGAAAAATAGTTTGAATCAAACCACCTTCATCAACAAACATATTTGTGCTTTTTTTCATAAAAATAACACCCATCATAGAAAGAGGTGAAGCATTGGAACAGGCTGCCCAAGGAAGTGATGGAGCCACCATCCATCTCTGCCAGTGTTCAAGAAACGGGTAGATAAGGCACTTAGGGACATGCTTTAGCAGGCAGGGTGGTGATGAGTTTATGGTTGGACTTGGTGATCCTGAAGGCCCTTTCCAACTGTAGTGATTCTATGATTCTGTGGAATCTAAAATATGCCTGGATGAAAGCCAAGGATACAAATCCAAAGATGTATAGATTTATATGGGAACCGTGTCAGTTGTCGTGTTAGGAGTCAACTTCTTTTGAAGGCAGTGCTGACCTTGATGACTGAAACAACATGTGGATGTGCAGAAAGAAATGTGCCCGTTAGCCTCTCACATAAGCAGTTGTTTCAGAAGGCTTTGGCAGAACAGGATGCTGAGTGAAGCAAGAAGCCTTCAGTTTAATTTAGCCTGCAGACTCTGACCATGACGYACAGGTAAGGCAGACATTGCAGTCTGACTCTCTTCCTCACCTGATATGATGAGTGTGAGAGGTTAACAAATAAAAGGAGCCTTCTTGGTGGGGAAAAGATACGAGATAAAGTGGTGTTCAGAGCCCCAGATGGTGAATACATGAGCCCCAGTGAGCACAGTGAAGAAAGCTGAGCAGATGTTGGTAACTCTGGCTGGCCACTGCAGGTAAAGTCATTGTGGGAGAGAAGGAAAGAAGTGGGCCCATGCTCAGCTTGTGGTTCACCCTGGGCTGTTTGAGGAGTGTGCAAGCGTGTTTGAGACTCAAGTGAGTTTGAGCTAGTGCAAGAACGTATAGCCTTGTGTGCTAGATCCCTGTCTAATTTGGCAGTTTTTGTCAATGGTAAGTTGTAGTTTATCATTTTGGCTGCTTTGTCACTATCAGCACTGACTCAACTGGAGAAGTAGGCACTGTCCACACGTTCCCCAGACTCAACCATGCAAGTAGGTTAGCAAGGTCTGCCAGCAGCGGAACAAAATTGCGGTGTTGCTGGTGGTTTCCTTGTGTCTCTTGCTTAAMTGCAATGACCTGGTTTATGAAGCTGCTCATGGGCAACCTCCGTGAGCCCCAGGCGCCCTTCAGTTCCTGTGTGTGCAGCTGCAGTGTGTCTGCTGTTAGCCACCTGAGGAGAAGATGGGCAGCCCCTCGGGGTCAGAGCTGAGTGTGAGCAACTGTGCATGAAAAAGAAAAGAAAAGCGACTGTGCTTCTGAGAGGCTGAAAAAGGGCAAATGTCTTTCAGAAAGGACCAAAATACCTGAGGGAAGCCTGCTACGCAAGTGTGGGCACCAGCTTCAGCTATGGCCGTTGTCTGTGAGAACAGGGAAGGTAGTCCACGAAGGAAGCCCTTACTTCATATAAAGGCTTCTGTAGCTCTGTGTAGCTCTCACTTGCATGGTTTTGATTGATGCAATGTGTGTGKGGGGGAGCTGATGACACAGGTAATTTTTATGCAATCTCTGGCTTTGTGAGCTACTGCTCAGACCTTCTGCATTAAGTGGAAGACCCTATCCAGAGAGTGGGGTGTTTGTAGGCTCTGGGCATCAAGGCCCTGGAGCAGATTATCAGTTGGACACACTGACGGTTGGTCATGGGAGGGACCCGTGATGGATCTAAAGGTGGGAAGGGAAGCCACGGAAGCAGGACATTTGCAGATGCACCCAGTATTGCATGATAAGGCACCAATGTTGGGGTCAGCTCAGGTCTGGTGCACAGCCAGCAACAGATTGTGTGTGCATGTCCCAAAGCTGCTGCTGCTCAGAGCTTGCTAAGGAACTGAGCTGCCACAAGCTGCCGCAATCTTGACAAGAGGAGTTACCCACAGAGGCTCTGCAGAGAAGTCCACTGTACCAGGAAGCATCCCAAGGATGTTRTAACACAAACTCATGTGCAGTGCAGTTTCATAGTTGATAAAATGTTAGAGGTCAGATGTGTCAGAGGTCAGATGTGGTGGTTACACTGACGGTAACCACTGACGGGTTGGGTGAAACCTTGCTCAATCTTTTGTGGAATAGACAGACTATTGCTTTATCTCTGCGGCCCATGGAGCTCAGTTCCTCACAGCTGGCAACAGAAYGGCAGCCAGTAAGACCTGCACCAAAGTATATTCAATGGTTAAATGGGAGAGGTGTTAAAAGAGTGGAACCAGCTTCTGGGATGGGTCTGGAGCATGGTGAAGACTATAGGCCTGGACACTGCTGGGGAGAGGCAGAGGCAGAGCATCCTGGTTGTTAATGTTGGATTGCTTGGTCAGTTGAATGCCCAAGGCCTGGCTGCATTCCCAGAAGACAAGGGAAAAGACATATGCTAGAAAAAGTCCCAAGGAGTAAATGTCTTATCTGGACCAATGACAGTTTCATCCTGGATCTGTCCTGAGACCATACAGGGTGTGAAGAGTTCCTAACTAGACGTAGCTCTGGCTGTTCTCAAAGGTTTGCTCTCCATAGCAGTGTATTCTTTGTCTATGGATTTTTCTCTTTCCTTAGTGGGGAAGAAATGACTTCARTTAGGCAAAGGGACCATAATCTGCACTCTGT